ACTTGGAATGACAACTTTGCTGCTTCTTTTCATGGTTGACAACTTTGGTCATTCCACTTAACTTGTTAAGATACCAATAGCTCGGCTTAGATTTTAAAAAATATTTTCATAATTGAACTAAATGAATTAGAGTTGAGTTGCTGGTAAATCGAAAATCAAATTGGATTTAAAAAAAATATATTTTTATAATCAAGCTTATATGAGCTAGTTTAAACAAAATTAAAAAATTTAAGTAGCTGAAACTTTTTTGTAAAATTATAATTAACAAAGGCAAAAGCCTTCATGTTGAAAGAAGAACAAGAAAATTAATCCATGTCCCTGAAATTGTATCCAAGGACATCATTGCTAGATTGTTATGAATTCCCCGTCCGGAGGTCACATTAATTATTTGGTTGGGTATCAATTCTCAAAGTTGGTGCTTCCTCAATCCTCATCATGCTGCTCTGTTCATCTTGTCTGTTACTATCTGATTTGTTGCTCTTCAACCAACCTTCATCCAGTCAAACATTTTCTAATTGAAAAAGGAATCATCAATAAAAAAAAAAAATTTCTTCCGTTTTGGCCTCTCAATAACCTCTCTCATATGCTTTCTCACAAACCTAAGCTTTCTTTTCTTGCCTTGAGATGTGGCTCTGATGTTCATCCTCTGTACCTGTTACTCTGATGGGAAGATTTAAATGCTTTGTCGCCATAATTAAAAATAATATATATATATATATATATAAATATTCAGCCTTAATTTTTTAAGAAAACTGGCAATGACATGTTTTTATGGGAGAAGTCAAAAGTGAGAAATCTACCATCAAGACTTTCCAAAAGTAAGTGACACCAAAACCATTTTAGGTTATTTTATTGGATGATATAAGTTAATTTATCTACACCATCAATTTATCATCATATTTAATATGTATAAGCTAATTTTTAATTTGAGCCATGTCTTGTGTGAAAAAGTAAATTTTCTGATAGTCTAAAAGTGAGGAATCTACCGTTCAGACTTTCCAAGTCAACAGAATTTCAATTTCGTGTAATTAAGTGACACCAAAACCTTTTGAGGTTAGATTTTATTTAGTTTCTAAGTTAATTTATCAATATCATCAGTATATCAACACACATAATTAATTTATAAAAGCAAATTTTCGAGCGAGGGCTTATTATGAACAGTAAACTTACATTTTTTTTTGACTGTTTTCTCATCTTCCTTCCATTTTGAATGCTAAACTTAGAATTTCATTCCATTCAAATTGATATGTCTCAATTCATATTAATTAATATATAATAATAATAAATCACATCACTTACAATTTAAAAATAGCATTTCATGCTTAATACAGACATAAATTGAGTCAAGTTAAAATATAATGATTAAATTTTCATAATATAACAAACTAAGTTTTAAATATCTACTAAGAGAGATATTCATATTTAGTGTTTGATCATGCTTAGAACAAAATTACTTTTAATTAACATTGTGTGCAACAACAAAAAGTACTTCATATTTAATTAAAATTAAAAATATGAAGAAAAATGAATGATTGAATTACACATTGTCTCCATAGTTACCCTCGAAAAGAGGGAAAGTCCACCAACGTATCCCTTAGGCCCAAATTGTTCCTAGTCGATGACCTTAGTTTAAAATATAAGATATTTATTAGTATTTTAGAAATTATTTTTTCCATCATACTCTTATATTTAATTTAATAACATAATTTCTTGTGTAGAGTGGGAATATATCGCCTCCTTCTTATCCTGGTTAGCATTGTATTATCTTAATTTTCTCACATGGCATCTCTCATTACAAAATTATTGATATAAATATTTTATGTATAATTTAATTCAGCACTGATAGTGGGGGCTAAGGGCAAAAAAAAAAAAATTATAGATATAACTGAATTTCTTATGCATGCAAATTATAGTTAAAAGTTGCGTACAATTTAGATTGGAGGGAGTGAGTGTGAAGAGTAGGCAAACCAAATTTTGTGGATTTCAATTTTCCAGGATTACAGAACGATAATGGTGCATAAGTGGCTAGTCATCACCATAATTAAACTATCCATCGACTTTTGTTTATTATTTGAAGTGTATTATCTGATCTTATTTCTTATTAATCTCTCTTTAATTAAGATGAAAATTGTAGCTTATAGACTGTAGAAATTTCCATAAGAATTTCATGAAAACTTGTGTTCAGCCAACCCTCCACCCAGTGACCCACACCTCACAGCCTCCCATATACAGGCTGACCAAAAATTAGAGAATGAATCGTTAAAAATAAAATAGTAATAATAATGGGCCTTTCCTGTTAAAAAACAATAATGCATATTAATCCATGCATTTGATCATGAGTGAAAGCTTTTCTGTCCAGTCATATATCCTTATACAAACCGTATTTGGTCACGCGAATGATCTCCTCTGTGCGTAGATATATATTTACCTATCTATATTGTCTACCTTTTTATCTATTAATCTATCCATTTTTATTTTGACGAACTCCGTAATTCTTTGTTAGATTAAACTAGTTAATCTAAGAATTTTCCATAATATCGTCTATTGTATTAATTGTTCTTTTTGCAAGAAAATTACTCCCTCTACTTAATTTATAAGGCATTATTTGGAGGTATACATGCTTATAAGCACTAGTACGGAAAAAATCATAAATGATGATTAATTTTTTTAATATAAATGGCAGTTATTTTTCTGTCATTTATTCTCTTATATAAATGATGTTAAATAGTCCTTCATTTAAAATTATACTTTTTTTGTCCTTTAATTTTTGTAAAATAGCAAAGAATAAATGACAAGTAATTAATTTACTCATTATTTATAATTACTCATATCTTACATTAACAATTTCAAGCAAAAAAAAATATCATTTATTATCAAATGCCAAAATCCTTATAAGATAGTTATGATTTTTAAAGAAATCAAATGTCAGATTCAATTACTTAAATCAGTTTCAATTGTGATGAAATTTAACACATTAGTACAATTTAATATGTAGTTTTTAGTAATAAAGCTACCCTAATCAAATAGGACATATAATTTAAATTAAAAATTATTCAAATAATTTGTTTAAAATTCAAAGAAAAATACAATAATCATGAATATCCATTTTGCTCACTAATTTTAATTCTCATAATCATTCTAAGGCTATCCATAACCTGTATTAGCATTCTTGAGTCAAGAACACATCAAGCATTATTAATTTTTGACAACCTATAATATCAAAATCAAGCAACAACAATTATAAAGTTAAACAAGTAAAATCAATCGCTAAAACTTTCTAAGACAATTAATAAATCATTCCCAACACTAAGAAAACAAAGGGCATTGAAAGAAAAGGTAGAAAATACAAAAAATAGCACCTTGGACAAAAAAGGCTTGAAACGCAATGAGAAACTCATGGCAACAATGAACGATGGCGTAATTGGCAGCGGAATCACATTGAAGCAGTGGATGGTGGTCAACGATGGCAATGGAGGCACTTTGTAAGGATTCTTGCAATTTCATGTGCAAGTGGAGAAGATGGGAGAGAAAGATTATCGGGCGCAAGACTAAAATAAATAAGAGAAACTGATATTTAAAGCAAAATAAATTATGAGCATTTGAATGTCTGATATTTATTTATCTATATTATGGTGTTGCCTTTATATGATATATAGGTATTTTAAACACCCATCATATAAAGTTTAAATCTTTTTAATTTTTTTAAAATATTAGAAATTGAAACCTTATATGATGAGTGTTTCAACACCAATCATATAATATTATCACCATAAATGATGAATTTTTCAAATGCTTGTAATTTATGTTAATATTAATTTTTAATTTTTTTGATTAAAACTTTATAGGATGAGTGTTTAAACACTTGTTATATATTATAATAAAATAAATAACAAGTGTTTTAAACACCCATTATATATTATTTAAGTATCACCTGCCTTTCTTTAAATGACGTGTTTTATTTTAATTATCATTTTTATTAATATCTTATATCAAGAATTTTGTAGTAGTTAATACATCCATCTTGTGGATCAGTCCCTCCATTTCTATAGATAAAAGAAACTTTCACTTGTTGCTTTGTTTTTTCATAAGCAAAATTACATATGTCAATAAATATTTATTATACATTTACTAAAGTATCTATCATAAATTCTTAATTTTCATTCTTGAGAAACAATTAATGTAGCCTTATTTTAATTTAATACAATGGTGTTTTAGTCCAGTTATTTTTTATTTCTAGACACAATTATTATAATTAACTCATTTTTTAAACTACGCGACATAATTATTTTTTTATATATATAGAAACACCCCATGAGGGAAGTATGTAGAGTATTTAATGTTGTTTCACCTAAAATATCTCTAGTAATTGATGATCGGGACTAGATGTTATTAACAGGATTTATTGTAATTAATGAAAGAAAAATATTAAAATTGATTAACTTTCTTTAAAATTTTTATAAATTTAGAAGTTATAACTTTTGTTCCTGTTAAATATATATACATTAATAATATATTTTTTCTCACTAATATCTAATGAAAATAAAATAGAGAACTTGTTATTATAAAAAGTCAATAATATGCCATATAATTAGGACTTAAGCATTATTCCATCTCTGTTTTATAAATAAAATCAAATTCAATATTATCTTTATATGATTTAGTTAAAAAAGTTCTTGTTATAGTATAAAACAACTTTCACATTTAATTAATTAGGTTTAAAGGGGCTAGGAGAGTGGATCCCCAATCATTTTAATTATAATTATGGAAAAATATAAATTGCTGATAAGTTTTAGGCACTAAAATTTTTAATGTTAGTGAAGCAATAAAAAGAATCGCATTCATATTCATCTGAGATCATGCCTATGAATCTGTGACGTGTCATTAACCTACTATCTTCAAATAATTAGTTTATTATTATTGAAAAAATATCGGCCCACCAACTTCATGTTCTTGAGTATTATTCAAAGTTATTGGGTGCCAGTAAGAGGAAATCTCCACACACACCCCACCAACCAAACTCCATCCATACGAAAGCAGCATCGGATTATTCAAATCGCCTCCTTCATCTCTCTCTCTCTCTCTCTCTCTCTCTCTCTCTCTCTCGCGTGTTTCTTTCTCCCTGTTCGTTCAAAAAACTGAAGCAATTTTCATTTATCAATGGAAACTCCTCCGACGGAATTCATCTTCCGGTCCAAGCTCCCCGACATTTACATCCCCACCCACCTTCCACTACACACTTACGTCTTCGAGAACCTATCGCTCGTCAAAGATCGACCCTGCCTCATCAACGGCGACACCGGCGAGTCCTTTACCTATGCCGAGGTGGAGCTCACCTCCCGCCGTGTCGCCGCTGGCCTCAGCAAACTCGGCATCGGACATGGCGACGTCATCATGCTGGTGCTCCGTAACTGTCCCCAATTCGCTCTGGCCTTCCTGGGAGCTTCCTTTGCCGGTGCAGCGGTGACCACGGCAAACCCCTTATTCACTACGGCCGAGCTGGCAAAACAAGCCACCGCGTCCAAGTCGAAGCTGATCATAACCCAAGCGGCTTTCGTTGAGAAAATCAAGGATTTCGCGGAAACAAATGGCGTTTCACTGATGTGCATTGATTCTACTTTACCGGAAAAGGAAGGTATTTCACATTTTGCTCTACTCACCCAAGCCGACGAAGCTGATATACCAGCCGTCAAGATCAGCCCGGACGACGTCGTGGCGCTTCCTTATTCTTCTGGCACCTCCGGCGTCCCAAAGGGCGTGATGCTTACTCACAAGAATCTGGTAACCTCAGTGGCCCAGCTCGTCGACGGTGAAAATCCGAACCAGTACACCACCAGCGACGACGTGCATATCTGCGTTCTTCCAATGTTCCATATCTACGCGCTCAACTCCATTTTACTCTGCTGTATCCGAGCCGGAGCAGCCGTTCTGACCGTGAGCAAGTACGAGATCACCACGGTGTTGAAGATGATCGAGACATATAAGGTGACGATGGCGTCGTTCGTGCCTCCCATCTTACTGAACATCGTGAAGAGCGAGGAAGTCAATCGGTACGACCTGTCGTCTATAAGGATGATAGTCACCGGAGCTGCGCCGGTGAGCGTGGAGCTGGAACAAGCCCTGAGGACTAAGCTCCCACATGCCATACTTGGACAGGTTGATTAATATATTAATGAAGATGATTAATAATACATATAATTGAGATTGATTCTATGGATTAACATATATAAATAAGCATGATTAAAGGAGGGAACTAAATTAAAGTGAAATGAAATTAACGAACAGGGATATGGGATGACGGAGGGAGGACCTCTATCGATAAGCCTGTCGTTTGCGAAGGAGCCGGTGGAGATGAAATCAGGTGCGTGCGGGAGCGTGATAAGAAACGCGGAGATGAAGATCGTGGACATTGAAACCGGAGCTTCGCTACCAAGAAACAGAGCAGGTGAAATCTGCATTAGAGGCAATCAAGTTATGAAAGGTACAGATTATTTTTTTATACATTTTAATAAATTAATTAGGTAATTGATTACATAGGTTTTTTTAATGGTATAATTGATTAGTTAATGTCGCATGTGATTGTCGCTTTTGTTTTCTCTCGCCCCAGAGCAAGCATGCATGATGCATTACCTGACATGTCTTGTTTTTTAAAGCGTCATTAGAGGTTTAGAGGTAGGTCAGGTGTTAATATTTGAAAAAATATGCACGCCAAATTACTTTTTAAATTAAAGACGTAATGGTTCAGCTTGTGGTACCGATCTAGGAGTTGATTATAATTTTGGAATTAATTAATTAGTATTAGTATATCATGTGATTCTCACTCGCGATAAATATGGGAGGTATTTCTAAACTCAAAAGAATGAACTTATGATACTAAAGAAGGAATAAAACATCATTTATCAGTTTAATAAAAAAAAACATCATTTATCCTTAGCAATGGGTTAGTTCCAGTGAAAGGATTTAGTTCAAATTACTGTAAAGAAATATGTTCACTTATCTTAAATTGAATTGCACCAATGCTTAATCTAATACAGTTAGTGTAACAGCGTCACTCTTATGAGGATGTTTAAAATTAGAGGAACTAACATTACACAGGAAAAAAATTTAAAGGACTCGAAACATGAAAAAATTATAAAAAGCTAATAAAAAAATACGGTAAAATTATAGAGATCAGTAACTATGTTTTTCTTGTTAAAGAATGATAAATAATGTTTTATAATTTATTAATCAAATTCCAGGGAATATAGAAAAATATGTGAAATGATCTTTTCAAGTGGGATCGATTTAGGAGTTGGTGGGGGATAAGAGGCCTTGCATTTTAGGTATGTGGAGGATGAACGTGTGTCCGTAAAACTTGCTTACACATTTTAGGAATTGATTCGCAAATGACTTGAACACACGTCATGAAACTAGTGCTGCACTAGAACACGTCCTTATGGTGCAATCTTGCGTCATGCTGACCTCTGGTCCTTGCTGTCTAATAATGTTTTCAGGAATTTTGAATTTTGAAGTAGCGCTGGTTATTTGACCTTTCTCCAAATCTCAAACCCATCATTAGCCTTCCAAATTAAGTAGAGTATTCCTGTTATTCAAGGCATTGAAAACTATCATCATTTGTTGCTTCAGTTGAGATAGTAATTTAAGGATAAGTAGTTTAACTGTAATTGAATTAATTTCAATCTAATTATAATTAAAATAATTTAATTTAATTAAAATATACAATGACACACACATATATAACTTTCAAAAGAGCAATATTTAAAAAAATAATTTATAAGTAAATAGATTTTTTTAAAAATTCAAAACAATGTTATTTAAAGTTTAGTAAAAATTATGTTTTATTCATTGGTCTGGCCAATCAATTCAGCTTGGGTTTTAGAAATGTTGTTATTATAGTGCCAATTTATGAAAGGAAGATTTAAACGGCCTTTAGTTTTTTGTTTTGCTTGTAGAAATTCCATCAACATTAATCATGTTTTAGTGGAAAGCAGCCCAAAAGCTGCTTTAACCAAAGCGTGATTTGATATGGTCTGGGACAAAAAACCAAATATATGCAATTGGTGTGACAGCGATTAAATAACGGGAATTTGGTTAAAAAAATAAAATAAAAAATGTGATTAAGTAAATTGGGAAAATTATTTTAAAGTCCAACACAATATAATTAATTACTATAAAATTTATTAATAATTGAGTTAATCCATTGTCAAAAAATCTTGTAGTAATTATTTGTGATGCGGAAGACCTATATGTAAATCTCCTGAGTAAATTAAAACAGCTCACAATTGCTCAACTCAGGGGTTGGTGAGTTTTGGATAATCCATACATGATACAACCATAAATAATGTAGAGTTTTGACGTGACACAATGATTCTAATAAGATTGCTGTTTGAATGCTTTGTTGGTTGAAGCATGTGATGAATATGCGACTCTTAGAAATGAACTTGGGTGGTCCTTATATTATGACTTGACACACACTTTTGATTAATTTTCATCAAACAAGCTTAACTACTGTGTGTGTCGTACAAATGGGGGGAGATTAATTCCAATGAATGACCACCAAGTCCACATCGTCACCTACCATCGTTGTTGACCCCTTCAGTCTTTGCACCTTAAGTGGTGATTAAGCAAGCAATAGGAGAAGAAGAAGACAAAAGTGAGTCAGATGATTGACATGGACATCAATAATTGTGGGGGTTGGTGGGGTTACCTAATGCTCGAAGAAGAATATTAAAATATGCACCCAAGATCTTTCTAATTAAGCTGGTAATGCTTGAATTAAATTAGAATTTGATCAAATCCAGATAGTTCAAGTAAAATAAAGGGGCAACATCATTGAAGAACTGGGTAAAGAATTTAATGTCTGACAATAATTTCTAACAATAAACATTAATAATTAACGAATGAAATTTAAGTTTTAACAAATATCTGATCTATTCTAATTCTTATTAGATATTAAATTCTCAAAAAAATTACATAAATGTCACACAGAAAAAAAATTAATTATCATATTCATTAACAACTGAATTAAGATCATTGTAATTGAACTAAAACTTTTTCAATAACCTTAATTTAGTTGTTAATGAGTCCCCCTCCCTCCCTCTGCGTGTGTGTGTGTGTGTGTTTTGTTATACCTGTATGTGTCTGCCTGTTTTGCGTAATTGACCAGAACGAAAGAAAGAGAAAATATATTGAGTTGTATGAATGTGGTGGTGAAGGGTACCTAAACGACCCGGAGGCGACGAAAACGACGGTAGACAAACAAGGATGGCTGCACACAGGAGACATCGGATATGTAGACGACGACGATCAGGTGTTCGTTGTGGACCGTCTGAAGGAGATTATCAAATACAAAGGCTTCCAGGTGGCTCCTGCTGAGCTGGAGGCTCTCCTCATCTCTCATCCTCTCATCTCTGATGCTGCCGTTGTCCCGTAAGTCCTTCTATTTCACAACATTTCGTGAATCTCACTGAATTTTATTCATTAATTTTTCATTAATTAATTTAAAAGCAATATGCTTCAACTTCAACCACCCTCACCGGGTACTTAATTCAGCTGAAAGTAAAAAAGTTGTACCAGCTTCATTACATGTCTCGAGCCCCTTTTTTGGATTAGTCCAAGAGCTTCTGTTAAGTTCATTCAACTCGACGTAAAGTAACTAAGTACATTTAGGATTCTGGATGATGATGCCCAGAAAGAAAAACAAAAAAAGAAAAACAAAAATGCTTTCCTTCAATGTCAGTATCTTTGAGATTGAGAGTTTCACCCAATTCCATTTAGCTGCATGCACTTGGCAAAAAACCTTGCCGCGCAGGCACTACGGCGTCATCTATTTTCAAAAGTCATGGCCCTACCGGTAACATCTATCTTAATTCAAAAAATTATACTTATGACTCATAAAAAAAATTATTATCAAGAGAATTTATAAAATTTATAAAATACTTTTAAGTTTTAAATTATGTCCATTTACAATCTAACAAAAAGGCAATTATAACTAAACAACATATATTCATAATTTACTATCACAAGTTGTTATTTTTTTATAAGTTATAAATGTCCACTGCTTAATTATAAATACCATTTATCAAGTTATAAATACATACGATTTAGAATTTAGGAATATTTTATAAATTTTATGAGACTTTTTATAATCAATTATCTTTTGTGGGATTCAGGTGTAATTTTTCCATTTTAATTTCTGACATAGTCGGTTTATATATATATATATATTATACTTCTTTCATTTTAATTTATAAAATATTTTTAAAAAAGATTTGACATTCCAAATAAGATATATTGACAAAAATAATGTTTTATTGATGATATTTTTTAATATTATTTTTTTCATATATTCTCTTTTTTAACTATTTTTTTACAAATGGAGTATACTAAATAAAAGGTATTTTTAAAAATTTATATTTTTTTAAATAAAATTATAAAATATATTTAATAAACTTTATTAATATATATGATTTTATTTAAAAGTGTTTTTATTAATTGGAACGGAGGTGATAGCTTTCAAGCCATATATTTGTATGTACGTATCTTTCTTAGTGCGATATCGAAACATTGCAATTATATATTTTAATATCATTCAGATCTTGCTGAACTTGTAATAGCTTATGATAAATATTGACCTATAATTAATTTTGTTGAAGCCAATACATCCATCACACAAGAAGTTTTCATCACATATACATAAAATAAAAAAATTGAAATAATTAATTTTTGGTTTAATTTGTTCAGGATGAAAGATGAGGCTGCGGGAGAGCTTCCAGTGGCATTTGTGGTCAGATCAAATGGTCCTAAGATCTCTGAGGATGACATCAAGCATTTCATTTCACAACAGGTTCTTACCTTTGTCTCCTTCTCGATATATATCTTTTTTATTGGTAAAAATTTATCTTTCTCCCTTAACTTTACAAAATATTTTATTTTGATTTTTTAATTTTATAAAATATTTTTAATATTTTAATTCTAATATAATTAGTTTCATTAATTACAAAAAATACTGAGGTTGAACTTTTAAATAGTAACAAAATATTTTTAAATCTTGACATATTATAATTTATTTTTTAAAATAATAATGATAGGTAAAAAATAATTATTTGAGACTTACAGTGTTATAACAGAAGTCTAAAAAATATTTTATAAAATTAAGTAATCAAATTAAAATTTTATATAAAATTAAAAGATTAAAAGTATAATTTTACCTCTTTTATTTTACTATTGAGACCAATATGGTTGCGTCCAAGACAAGTAACACGTCAACAGATCCACATGTTTTTTTTTTAACATGTTAATTAAAACTCTCAAATTTCACATATTGTCATAAATTGTATCCATTGTAAATTCTTAAATCACAAAACCAGAGTTAGTCCTAACAACCTAATCCTAAACTGTATCATACTCATATATATGTGTGTGTGTGTATATAACCTGTCCAGGACAGAAATTTTCTTGCCTTTGAAGTATTAATAAAACATAACCATTAGCTGTAGGAAATTACTATAATAACATATCAAAATAAATCATTTCATGTCATTAAGAAAGTTAACTATACACTATTATATTATGTAACGAGTATATTTTAATTTATAATGACTTACATGTGAATTTGTATGCTAAAACAAGCAACTACATAATAATGACTTAGCAACTCATCCTCCACTTATTTTATTTTAATAATTTATAGATAAGTTCAGACAGAACATATACTTAAGTTAGTTGTTAAGATTCAGTATTTTAATTTAAATATATAAATTTTAAAGTAGGCAAACCATCAAAGTGATTTTGATTGAGGGCTATTTTTTGTTTTGTGGCAGGTGGTGTACTACAAGAGAATCCATAAGGTTATTTTTACAGACACTATTCCTAAAGCAGCCTCTGGCAAAATCTTGCGTAAGGATTTGAAAGCAAAGCTTGCATCAGGTTTGGGCAATTAAGTGATTAATTAGCCTAATCCACCTGCAAATTAAATAAGTATTAAAGCAAATTAAGCAATGTGTGTGTATGAATTTTATTTTCATATATTAATTATCATAGTGGTTCTTTCACACACACATGTTTTCTGTTTTCTTTTGCTTTTGTATATGAGTTCGTTTCTATAAATGCAATTGGATCATGTATTTTGTAAGTACTTCAAATTATTAAATGTCATTATATTGTAAAGCGCACAGTACATAATAGATTGGGAAGGTATTTTAAATTATATGAAACTCATTCTTAAACCTTCATTTCTCAATCATAACAATGAATTTCCTTAATTGATGTGTATGTCAATATTTCAAAAACAAAACGCTTTACAATTCTCATGGTTTAATCTACTAGGTCAATGGTCAAACTAATAATTTAATAATTAAATAAAAATAATATTTATGTATGTGTATCATTAAAAATACCAACAATATCATTCATTTATAGAATTATTTAGTCATAACATGTGAATTTTTGATTATTTTTTTCATTTTTTCAGAAGTGTATTTTTATTTACCTTATTTGTCCTCTTAAAGAAAATAGCTTTCAATTTTTTCTACCGTTTAATTTATATAACGTTAATAAACAAATCATTTACCCAAAAATTGTACTATAGCAATAAAGAAGGAAGTTCACATTAATATTTTTACATTGAATAAAAAATTTATTATTAAAATAAGAGCAAAAAACAATTCAAGAAGATTTAATCATTTTAAGTCTCAGGTTAACTTCGATTTTGTCAAAGCAGTGTGATTCAAAAGGAGTCAATCTTTAAAATGGGTTAATGAGTCAAATCAAACCTCTTTTTATCCAATGGCAATTTGACCTGTCAAACCATATGGATCGAGTTTTAAAACAGTGGTCTATAACAATATTTATTTTAAGATTCATGCATCTAGTTGTTAATGTTTCCCCTCAAGTATAATTAACAATAATGAAGGCCTCATAGATCTAGTTGTTTAATGTAATGTTTGATAGGTAGAAAAATACTTTAAAAAAAATGTCACATTTTCTTTCTAAATAAATTTCTCCATTTTTTTAAATATACTTTTTCAGTTACCAAACGTATAACAAGGCTCTCTTAATTCTCAAACTGGCCCAAATCCATTTGGACAAAGTGAATATGAAGATGATAGACAAATTGATGGGCTAAAATAAAATGACAACAAATATTTTAGAAATTAATTAAAATATTATAAAATTAAAAAAATAAAATTTTTTATAATCTTTTAGAAATTAAGTAACACAATTTAAAAATATAGTAAGAAAATTTAAATCTTAATTCAAAAAAATTTTATTTTTTATAAATACACAAACATAATAATTATAAAAAATAAAAATATTAGAAAGTTTACACTGTACACTGATATTTATTAAATTACATTAAATTAATTTTAAAACTAATATAACTAATAATATAATGCGTGTAAGATTAAGGTTTCAGGTGAGCAGGTCCTTTTTGGCTTCCAACATATGTTCCACCAAAGAAAGAAATTAGTAATAATATAACAGAGTTTAAAGGACCGCCTGGGCTTGAGTCTGAACCCTTTTTTATAGAGCTTATTAGGGCCAAGCCTTCAAGCTGATTATTTAAAAAAATAATTTATAAAGCCTGAATTCTTATTTAAATAGGGCTTCAAAGCCGTGCCTTCCAAACCCGACCCTTATTTTTTACTCTACTCTCCCCTCCCTTCGGCCTAAATTTTTCCTAGTTGATGACCTTAGTTTAAAATATAAGATATTTATTAATATTTTATAAATTATTTTCTCCATCATACTCTTGTATTTAATTTAATAACCTGGTTTATTGTGTAGCGCGGGAATATATCGCCTCCTTCATATCCTATATTGGTTAGGTTTGTATTATTTTAACTTTCTCACATGGCATCTCTCATTGCAAAATTATTGATATAAATATTTATTTCTAATTTAATTCATCATTGATCGTTGGGGCTTGGGGGGAAAACAAAAAAAATTATAGATATAAATTAATTAGCCTAATGATTTCAAGAATTTTGAATTTTGGAGTAGCGTTGGCTATTTGACCTTTCTTCCAAATCTCAAACCTATCATTAGCCTTCCAAATTAACAAGAGTCTTGCTATCATTCAAGGCGTTCGAAACTATTGTCATTTGTTGCTTCAGTTGAGATAGTAATTTAAGGATAAATAGTTTAACTGTTATTGAATTGAATTCAATTTAATTATAATTAAAATAATTTAATTTAATTAAAATATATATATATATAACTCTTAAAAGAGCAATATCCAAAAAATTAATTTATAAGTAAACAGATTTTTTTAAAATTCAAAACATGTTATTTTAGGTTTAGTAAAAGAATGAAAAAATATAAAATTCAACTCAATCGACCCATTTAAAACTCTTGACAACACTGGCTAAGGAACTAGCTCATTGATTCATTTGTCTGACCAATCAATCCAGGTTAGGTTTTAATAATGTTATTATTATAGTGCCAATTTCTGAAAGGAAGATTTAAAAGGCCTTTCGTTTTTTTATTTTTTTTGGCTTGTAGAAATTCCAACAAAATCATGCTTTAGTGGAAAGCAACCCAAAAGCTGCTTTTACCAAAGCGTGATTTGATGTGGTCTGGAACAAAAACCGAAATATACGCAAATGGTGTGACAGCATTAAATAATGAAAATTTGGTTGAGAAGATAAAATAAAAAAATGTGGTTAAATTAAGATTATCAATAAATTTTATAATAATTAATTATATTGTGTGAGATTTACACTTAATTCTCTCAAGTAAATTAAAATAGCTCACACAGTTGCCTAACTTAGGGGTTGGTGAGTTTTAGATAATGCATACATGATACAACCACAAATAATGTAGACTTTTGACATGATACAAATATGATTCTAATAAAGATTATATTATTGTTTAAATGTTTTGTTCTTTGAGACATGTGAAGAATATGTGACTCTTAGAAATGAACTTGGGTGGTCCCTATGTTAGATGACTTGACGACACCCACTTTTGATTAATTTTCATCAAACAAGCTTGTGTGTCATACAAATAAAGAGAGATTCCAATAAATGACCACCAAGTCCAAGTCATCACCTACCACCGTTGTTGACCTTTTCTGTCTTCGCACCTCGATTAGTGTTCGAGTAAGCAAGTATTGGTGAAGAAGAATACAAAAGTGAGTGAGATGGTTGTCTTGGATTTCAATGGTTGTTGGGGGTTGGTGAAGATACCCAATCCTGGAAGGCGTTTTTGAGCAACATGGATCATGATTTTTTTACCGAGATGCTCCGAATTTATCAGTTTTATTTTATAATATATTTTATATTTATTTTAAATTTATCAGTTTTATTTTATATTTTATTTTATTTTTATTAAAACATAAAATATAAAATTTTAATAAATCTATCTTATTATTAATTTGAACAATATAGATTTAATTTGGGTGATTCAATTTAATATTAATTTTTTTCAAAATACATATAAATAGTCAATTTATAAAAAATATATGTACTTTAAAAAATTAATGTTAAATTAGATCATTTAGATTAAATATGCATTATTCAGATTGATGATAAAGTATATTTATTAAAATTTATATTTTTTATAATAAATATAAAAAATAAAATTTATAAATCTGGGCCAAAACTGAACCCATGCTCGAAGGATAAAAATATGCACCCAATATCTTTCTAATTAAGCTCATAATGCTTGAATTAAATTAGAATTTGGTTAAATCCAGATAGTCAAAGTAAAATAAAGAGAAAATATCATTGAACGACCGAGAAAAAAATTTAATATCTGACAAGGATTTCTAACAAATAAATATTAACCATTAACAAATAAAATTTAAGTTTTAATAACCTTGTTGGATATTAAATTCTTTTGCCGGTAATTTATTGATATTATTCGAAAAACACAAATTATCTGTATCTCATGTTCTCTCTCTGTGTTTTGTTATACTTGTATATGTCTGCCTGTTTTGCGCACTTGACCAGAATGAAAGAAAGAGAAAATATATTGAGTTGTATGAATGTGGTGGTGAAGGGCACCTAAACGACCCGGAGGCGACGGAAACGACGATAGACAAGCAAGGATGGCTGCACACAGGAGACATCGGACATGTAGACGACAACGATCAGGTGTTTGTTGTGGACCGTCTGAAGGAGATTATCAAATACAAAGGCTTCCAGGTGGCTCCTGCTGAGCTGGAGGCTCTCCTCATCTCTCATCCTCTCATCTCTGATGCTGCCGTCGTCCCGCAAGTCCTTCTATTTCACAACCTGCCGCGAATCTCACTGAATTTTATTCATTAATTAATTTAAAAGCAATATGCTTCAACTTCAACCACCCTCCACGGGGTACTTGATTCAACGGGTAATAAAAATGTTGTACTAACTTCATTAGGTGTCTCGAGCTCCTTGATTGGATTAGTCGAGGAACTCCCGTTAATTCAGGATACTGGATGATGACGCCAAGGAAAACCAAAAAAAAAAAAAAATCGTTCCCCTTCAATGTCAGTATCATTGAGATTGAGAGTTTCACCTAATTCCACTTACTGCATGCACTTGGCGCTTTCGTGACTCAAAATAAATGAATAAATAACTTACAGCATGCGGCACGGCGTCATCTATTTTCAAAATCAAAAGTCATGGCCCCGCCTATAACAATTCTATTTTAATTGGAAAAAAGTACAAAAAAAAATTATAAAGAGGTATTATAAAATTTGCAAAATACTCTTATACTTCAAATTCTATACATTTATAACTCAACAAAATATATTTATAATTGAATAACGAACATTTATAAGTTACTTTTTTTACAAGTTATAAATGCTCGTTGTTCAATAGTAAATGTACTTTACCAAATTGTAAATGAACTTTAGATTTGAGAATATTTTATAAATTTTATAAGATCTTTAGATTATAAATTCTCTTCTATAGATCTAAGTGTAATTTTTTCATTTTAATTTCAAACATAGTTGGTTAAAATGTGTGTGTGCATAATGCTTCCTTCATCTTAATTTATAAAATACTTTTAAAAAAATTTAATATCTCAAAATATAAGATATGTTAATGAAAATAATATTTTATTGATGATACTTTTTTAATATTATTTTTTTATATATTCTATTTCTTCAATATTTTTTTTACAAATGAAGTTTATTAAATAAAAGATATTTTTAAAATTTTA